GACATTCTGCAAAGTGAGATGCACTTAAAATGCTCGGAGGTGGAATCACAAAATATGATCTGACTTCTGATATCAGTTTTAAAGTAAAACAATTAAGAACGCTGATTATTTCTGGTCTGAAGACATGAATGGCACTCTTAACTGCATTTAAGAGATGATAAATGAGAAAAAAATAGTTCTAGGATTACTTTCTCCTACTTTTATTAGCTTCCCCAAAAATGCTGACCTAGTGGCAGTCAGTAGACTATTATAAGATTGCTGGTTTTGTTTGAGGCTAAGTAAATGAAGAGATAGTCCAGTATCCCTACATCTGTGTTCAAGTTTATCCCCGTGAGATTTCAAAGAGTGAAGTTTGTTGTTATACCAAAGGAAATGATGCATAAATTAGACTTTACTATGTTCTTTCTGGAGCTAAACAATCTAAACCACCACCAAAGGTGGAATTGTAAAGCATATTGGAGTCATCAATACTAGCTGGCTGAGGGGCACTGACAAGTGAACTTAAAATGAATTGCAAAAAGAAATATAAATGTATGTTGTGTATCTATACAGTATGCTTAGATTTCAAAGTTGATACTGGAACATCCTGATTAAAATAAATGACTATATGACCTACTGTATAAAATATTATCCATATAAAATGGAAAACAAATTTAGGAAAGCATAGAATTCTGTTGGAAAATAATTGTGATGACAGATGACAGCTTATGTGAAGATTGAAAACTCCTATTAGGCACCAGAGATGAGAAAAGATCTGAAAACTCTTTAAAGAACCAACTTCAGTGGCATGCATTCAAATGCTATAAAAATTGGTACAGTACAAGCAATGGTCTATGAGGAGTGTTAGGTTGATGTACAACCATCAAATTCTGCCTGATGCTAAGCCAACATTTGCAACATTTGAACATTTGCTAAGCCAAGGGACCAAGGTACTGTATAATAGTTTACCACCGAAAAAAGCAGGACAATTCTGGTGAATGTTTTCTGGGTGGATTTTTTCTTTCTGCCACTGGCAACATTTTTATTTAAAGAGATGAATATTTACAGTACAATGTATTTTCCTAGGTCACAAAACAGCAGTACTGAAGTAATTTATAGAGTAGTCCTGGAATTTTAAATTGAAATAATTGGAATGTGTTTTATCAAGCATTGTGAGCACCTACAAGTAAGATGGGTGACTTTATACAGTATATTTATTGTTTTTATTTGTTCTAAATTCACTGTCATGGATTATAAATGCTAATTAATATTTCTCACTCAGATTTCAAGTTACCCCATCTAGAACTGTCTGGAAAGGCCTATAAATCTGAAACATGGATTTGAGAATTTTAACTTTCTGCACCTTATGACCTTATGAGAAATATAAACTTATGATAGTAAGAGCATTAAACAATTAAAATGCTACAGATAAGCCCATTTATTTGGGGGCTTGTTTAATAAAATAGAAATCCATATAAGAAATTGAAATATTCATTAAAACTGTCAGTGATTTACTGGATTAAGTATTGAGTTTTTGCCTCTGTGACTACTTTGTTTATCTATGCTGCTGAGAGTTTGGTTAGCTCTTATGTTCTGGGGTTTTGTTTTACTGGGAGGAAGATGATATTTACATAAGGGAGAGTATTCTTTGTCATACTTTGATGGTTTTTCAGCCTTTTCTCAATGAGTGAATATGTGTGGAGAGTTTAATCAATAAGATCTTGTACTACATTCCATACTGAAACCATATAAGAAATTAAATTTCATTTCACAATCTATTGTTTTCATTTTATAGTATTCCTTTTTTCATTTAATTTTAGGATTTTGAGATGTTTCATTGAGAAAAAGTAATGCATTCATGTTTTAAACAAAAATCAAAAGTATAGGGGAGGGACTATACAGTATGCCCGATCCCTTGTTTCCAAGTTTCATTATATTTCCTGTATTTTTGTTGTATATTTTTAAAATTAAATGCTAGAGAGCTTTAGTGGATCAAATATGCATTAGTCATGGTGAGCCAGTTTAAATAAACCTGTTGGAATTTGGAGCTACACACTGTGTAAATTATCTAATATTTATATGCCTTAATTGAATCCAGCTTGCAATGATAAATGCAGTACCTTGCACATGTTGGTAACTTATTTAATATGTTAATTACACAGCAGGTAGTCGGTAATGTCAGAAGAAATAGTGTGTACCTTCACGGCATGATTAAAATGCAGTTTTATTCATGCCTAATTAAGTATACACCACAAGGGCATTTCAATGGTAAAATGTTTAGGATTATTTAGGATTTCTTATGTACAGTAACTTCAATTTCAGATCAACTTTAAAAGACATACAGTGGACTAAATGTCTCCTAATAGACAATGAATGAAAATCTAAGGATACAGTGTGACTGTGGGGTGTAACACAAGAAAATTAGGAGAGAGTTTGAATCTGGCTTTTTTTCTCTTCTTTTTTCCTTTTATTAAAATCATAGTTACATATCAGATCCTCAGAATTGCAAGGTAGGTATTAGAAGGTACAGTAATTACTGTATCTGCCAGTGCAATGACTTTATGAATATCCCTTGCCAAGGCAACATTCTGTGTTCTTAAACGTTTCTCTTTGAAAAACACTAAATGTAAAATATTCACACATACCTCTTTATTTTTGTTAAACATAAATTAACAGACAAAGCTTTTTATTGCATTAAAAATTAATGGACAAGGAATGGAGCCATAGTTAAATGGTAACAGAATATACAAGAACTGTGCTAATGCTGTTGAGTGGTAATGTTCTAATTTTGAAAGTGGTGTTTCATATTGAAATTGTATCACTTGATCTATAGTTCTACAGTGCAATTTTACAATTTCAGTGATACTGTGTCTTAATTTGATATCTTAAATCATTTTATGAAATGCATAAACCCTGAGGATTTATATAATAAGAAAATGCAAACAAATATTTACTACTTTTGCTACTACAGTGCATGTAGGTTAATATTTTATCAATTTTATTCAACTGATTCTTAAAGGATCCTGTTGAATCATCAACAACATGGCCTATTCCAATGACTATAGAATGACTATGGAATTGGTTCCAGACATCCACACTTGAGATGTTAAGAAATGTGCTCCATTAACTGTCCTGAATGTTCCCAAACTGAATAATATTGACAGGTCCTATGGTCCTTCTGTTAACCTGAATTTGAAACTGTCTCCTGGATTGATGTCTCAGTATATTTAACACTTTTAATGCATCAGTCATATACAAATGGAATCCTCTACCTGGCCCAAGAAAAAACACATTTCTTTTTAAGAATAAAATTCCTAGTGTTGCCCTTCTAGCGCTACCTCTAGAGCAGGAATGTTTCTCTTGTAGCACCCAACATTAACTCAACATGATTAATGAGGCCTAATCAAGGCATCATATAAACACCAGAAGAAGGTTCCAGAGCCAAAATGTTGTGTTTCCTTTTATATCTTTCAACATGAAATAAACCTTTACTTGTTCCTTTGCATCTTGTAAACACTTCCTAAATACAGTATGTTGATTTTTACTAATGTAGAAAAGTATCTTAATTTTAAGGAATGGATTGGGATGGGTGGTTTGAAACAAGCCCTTATATAGATGTTTAACCATATTTAAAAATAAGTAAATCACAATATTGGACAAAAAAGAAAAACTGCCAGACAGGCCTGGCCACAGTAAGGTATTAGTATTTTCAGTGTGTTTTTCTTCTATGTGTGCTTGAAAACCACAAGATCTCAGATATATTGACCACTGGGGAACTAAAAAAGAAACATTTTTATTCAAACAGACTAGCAACATTTCGAAACTGACAGAATATTAAAACAGAAATGGCAACACATTCCAGAGTGCCACATTATATGACAAAGCTCATATGCTACCAAGACAGATCTTTTTTCTATGAGGTTATATCTCTTGAAGGTGGATACGTCAGAGAGCAATGAATATTAGTGGTAAGGTTGCTGCCTTAGGTGGATACATTTTTGTTTTTTTGGCAAATAATATTATTTTGTCATCTGATCCTGTAGAATATGTTCAGTTCTTTTATACGTACTTTATATAAAATACTTTTGGGCTATTTAGATTTAATTTTCCTGTGTGTCTTCCTTCCCTGTCTTCATTAAATATTAGGTAACCTTGTGCCTACAGCCTACAGTGTGGTCAATAAAATGTAATGTTACACTGCCACTTCTACTTTGTTTTGCAGAAAAGACATTAGAACATTTCTTCTTTTGTGGATGTTTTATTTTGAAGAAAGTAATATACATTAATTCCATTAAGTAGAAAATAATGAGTAAAAATAATATGAGGAATTGTGTTTCTGCACTGAAAACCTTTTGGAGAGTTTGATCTATTTGTTCTTTGTTCCATTAAATTATTAATGGAAGGGTTAATTTGCCAGGACATGGGATGATTTTTGTACTATTTATTACAGTTTAATTAAATGACATTTTTAGAATGTGTCCTTAATTTTAATTAAAAGAAAACTTTTGAAATTTCACATCACAATTAACTAACTGAAAATATTAATTTGAGAACAAACCCTAACTGTGCTTTCTGTTATGATAAAATATTTTTATAAAGTGGAACTTTTTTCATGTTAATTCCTGCAACAGTACTCTAGCAACTTCTGTGGGCTATATTCAACAAATTTTCTTTGAAGAAGTTAATGGTAATAGTCAATAGTAATAGTTAATAGAAAGTACTGCAATTACATTTTCAAGAAACTTAAAACAAGGTCTAATACAATCCTCAAATTGCCTTATTGTCCAAACAATTCTCTGCACTTACTGTAGCACTGTGATCCATTCACCTGAAGCAGGTTTTAAATGCTTCCAATCTACTAGCAATAACAAATAATTGTGCCAAAGTAAAAAAACAAAGAGCAAGAATTAATCTGAGCTCTCTATACTGGTTCACTCTGTTTTTTCCATCTGTTTTGACAGATATTGCTTGTAAAATGTCAAGCTTTCACTAAAGTGCTTGAGTTTTTTTTTCTTTGGCAGGGCTACCTCATCCACAGATGTCTTGGTGTCAATCTGTGTAATATTTGCAATGTCGTTCATACCAGCTAGCTTTGTGCTATTCCTGATCCAGGAGAGAGTCACCAAGGCCAAGCACCTGCAGTTTGTCAGTGGTGTGAATCCAGGTGTATACTGGGTTGCTAACTTTGCTTGGGATATGGTAAGTGTTTCAATGCTTCTTCACTCTTATGCAAATCCAGGAGAATACAGTATGTCTCCAAATAAACTATCTGATTTGTCATGGTGTGTACTCTACTTCAGGGGCTTTTCAAATTGAATATACAAACAGTAAAAATGAATTATCATAAACCACCTGACTTCACCCTGGAGAAATTAAGAGAAATAAAGTATTTTGCCCACTGTGTTTTTCATCATTGTAATTAAAATGATGTAGCTGTCAGATTAACCTCAACATCACAATATCTCAAGTGTTGGCACTATCAGAAGAAAGTATAATGGTATTGTAGCAGATTTTTACCTATTTATTTTATACTCTGATACTGTATATCATTGAAATCATTTATAGCAAAGATTAAGGCACTGTTTTCATACAAAGACCCAAGAGTAATCTAACATTCCATATCAATGTTTCAAGGGTACCATTATATAATCAAAGACAGAGTAGAAATATAACTGACAGACAACAAGGTTTCTTTTCATTTTTGCCTTTCTAAGAATTTTGTGTTTTATCTTATTTTACCAAGATAACATAACTGTTATTAAACTATTCATAAATGCAATGCTTAAGATAAAAATGAGAACTATTTTTGACAGCAGATTGTGCAGAATCATTGCCTAACGATGCAACGTTGTTTGTGGTTTCTTTTACAGTGTAATTACACCATTCCGTGTTTGATAGTAATCGCCATCTTCCTGTGTTTCCAACAAAAAGCATATGTTTCACTTCAAAATTTGCCAGCACTGGTCCTTCTTTTAGTTCTATATGGGTAAGTCCCTGATATAAAAAACAGATAATGTGTCTACAGCAGTAGTAGTATCAACAACAGTAATAGTCATAACAACAACAACAACAATAATAATAGTCTAACAGAATTTATACTGGACACTTTGTGTTAATGCATTTTGCCTGCTTAGTGAAGTAGACAATGAAAAGTGTCCCTTCTTACAGTAATTATCTAAAAATAATAAGTAGACTTTTCAGACCACATGCAGTATATTAAATAAGTTAAAAATAGTTTATTAAGATGTGAAAATTAATCTGCATGACCCTGTATTGAATAAAGCACTTAGAAAATGGATAGATAAATGTTCATATATTCAAAATTCAAAAATATGTTCATGTTGTCTTCTACTGACTGTACAAATCCTAAAAGAAATTCATTCAATGAAGCATATAGGAGATGTGTGGCCTACCTCAGTGCTACATTTTCAGGACACTTACTGTACATAATCTGATGTTATCGGTGAACAGAAAGATCGAGAAAGTAAGATTTAAATGAAGAAGGAAAGTATAGTTTGCAGTACACTCATTTCAGGCTGTCACCCAGGTTATGATCTGCTCATTACATAGTCACAGACAAAGGTATTAATCATCCTCCTTAAAATAGGTGGGATTGAGCAGCCATTACTAGATAGTGTGAGGGAATGATGAGCTTGAAGATGACAATATTTTTCTCTGTACACAAAGAGGAGTAAAACACACAAAACAGATGTTTCATCTTTTATCCAACCCCCAGGGAACGAATTTGTACTCTTTCTGGTACACAGTTATCTGTAACCTAAGATGATGTTTATTTGCTCTTTATGCTTGTAGTCATTCTCTTAGTAGTTTTTCATCAGCAGGGATTTTCCAAGTTTAGTGATTTTACTAAAGGTGGAAAAGAGCAATTTCTTTAGGGAAAGTATGTCACCAGTAATATCCTGTGTAAAGGGTTACAATAGCCTGTATGTATATTAACATACTGTAAGCATTCAGAATAAAACTTAATTTAAATGATTATTTTTAATATTAGTAGGCAAAACTATAAATGGGCACATTCTTCACAGAGCTATGCAAAACAGAAATAAGGTTGATTTATTTTGATAGTGCCTGATGGTGGAACAGTGGTCAGGTTTGCTGTCTTGGAAATGAGACACTGGGTTCAATTCCTGTGGTGCTATCTGCAGGGAGTTTGTATTGTATATATTCCCTGTGTTTGCATGGATTTCCTTCCACAGCCCAAAGACATACTGACAGGTTAATTGGCTTGTAGGAAAACTATAGGTGTGAGGATGTGCATGTTTGCGTCTGTGTGTGTTACCTTGCGATTGACTGGCGTTCTGTCCAAGATGTATTCTGCCTTGCTTGTTAGGACAGCTCCAGCTCTCCCATGACCCAGGATTGCATAAAGTGGTTAGAAAATGGATGGATAGATAGATGGTAATACATGAAACAATAGTGTGTGAAATGTTACTGCAATGGAGGTCATTTCTATAGCCTCCTTTCTTGAAGTTTGTAGCAATCATAGATTGTTAAAAATAATTTGAGATTATCTGTTCATTCAAGATCTGTATGATGAGAGCATAAAAGGTCAACAAGAATCCCTTCACCTCCTACTGGTTTGTTGTTCTTCGTTTATTTAAAGGTTTTCTTCACCTCACTAAGCATTAGTACAGTTGCTTGTCTCTGTGTGTTATAAGATGGAAGTGATTTCTGTGGATTCTTGTTGGAATATATATTCAAAATGCTCCTTCGAATGGCCATTGACTGCTTTGCTTTTCTTGACCAGGTGTCCTCCTTCCATAGGCTACAAAGGGATTGATCCTTAGGCAATAAGGCCATAAACAGTCCTTACAGTTGTGAGGAAACTACACATACCTTTATGTCTATAAGATGTTAAATTATCTTTACCTTTTCTGTCCACTTCTTGTTCTTCTTGTTACAGGATAGCTTTTAATAAACCAACAGCTTTACTAGTTGGTGGACTGGGTTCTTTTGCTTGGACTTTGGGTCACTCTGCAGACCCTCAATAAACCCACTGATTACCATCTTCCCACACTGTATGATATGATCGATTTTCTTCTGTTCTTCGCTGGGATACGAGACCCTTTTCCCAATGCAGTTTTGAAACCCTTCATTTGACAAAATGGCCCATTAAGATATTCCACTATCCTTTAACTTCTGTCTCTTCAGCAGTGCCTGAATTCCTCATCTGTAATGTGTCTCCTTGCCAAGACAAGGAGGTAGATAAGAAAAAATTAAATAAATTCTAATCCCAAAGAATTAAATAAATTTCTTATTTTGGGTCTTAACTATTTCAGTACGTCTAGAGGGCGCTCCTACTCTGTCCAGTTCCTAGTTTCCCTGTGCTTTTCTAGTCCTTCTAGCGTGTCTTTGTGTGGGGCTGTATATTTCTGTGTCACCCTTTGTTCCTTGCTCAACAAGCAGTACGGATGTCTTGAGACCCACTTAGCACCAGGTCGTCTTCTCCGCGCCTGGGGCTGTAGGTTTCTTCCCGACATCGTCTGACCCCCTGAGCCCTGGCTTACCTCCGTGTTTCCCCTTTTGCCACTTTGCAGAGGGTCTTTATTGCTCTCCTGACCATTCCACGCAGACTCCCGTTAATTTAGCCAATACTGTATGCCTTCAGGAAGAAGTGAGCAAATGTATGTCTGCTGAAAGAATAGAACAGACACTTATTTAGTCGACAAAACTGAACAATCTTTTCATTTCTTGTTAAATAGTGTTCCTAGGTTATTATTATGAGAAATACAAAAATGTGGCTTCGGTGATAGCCCTGCCTTTTGTTTGTTTTTGGAGCTCAGGAACACAATAACACAGTAACCAGGAACTTTGGCAGAAATGTTAATAAAAAAGACTAACACTGAAATTACACCCCACAACAGTTTGTAGTTTCCAGTAATTAGCTCTAGTCTCTTCAGCAAACCCATCAAATGCTGTACCTGAACTCTGACCTTAAATCAGATTTTTATGGGCTTTAGCTGCTGTATCTTAATAACAGCATCACCCTTTCTCAAGGGATATAAAATGCTTTCAATTAAGCTTCTGCAGTAAATTAGAGATTTTATTCTCAATAGGTCACTTGCTACATCATCAGAAAAGTTGTTATAGATTTCAAAGATTCAGTACATAAGTAGAATTTCTAATCCATGTTAAAAACTCAGAAGCTAAAGTATATATATTATTTTAAGGAAATAATCAAGTCAGATGATATAAAATATAGAAAAAAAATAGTTATGAGCAGAAAAAATCAAATTATTTAATAAAACAGGTTCATGTAATTATTTGTAATACATTCTTAACTTACAACAAATTATGTGAAATGAACACTTGGCTGTCAATATTACAAAAACAATAACTGTATAAATTATGTATATTATTGACTCTACAATTTTTAGATTAAACTGGGAAAATGTAGATCATTGGTAAAACTGTAAAAAAAAGGTATCTTTAAATAGGTTCTCAGTCCAAAATATTAAGATGTCAATTATGCCACTTAAGCAGAAACAGTCTAAAACGTAATTCCAAAATCACCTTAAAAAAGGGCACAAATGAAAGAGGCCAATGGACCCATTTTTGTTTGCGTAGCTCCTTGTAGTTGACAAAACCAGCCTCAGCATCACAGCTGAATATATGTTTCACATATTCTACAACCTTTGTGTAAATTGCCTCCTGTTCTCAATCTTAAATGCACTTCCAATTCGTTTACACATTTGTCCTCTAAAGGAGAATTATTTTAAGTCCCAGGTGCTGTATAACTATAAATATACCTTGATAAAGGGATATGATGAGAATTAGTCAAACCTGTTTTTTTTTCCTCAAAAGTTTGTTTTGTATTTCATTCTTCTACCCAAATGCATCACAGATCATTTGTGCCACATGTTTTTCAGATGGTCAATCACTCCATTGATGTATCCAGCTTCATTCATCTTCGGCGTCCCTAGCACGGCCTATGTTGTACTGACATGTGTCAACCTCTTCATTGGAATCAATGGGAGTGTGGCAACATTTGTAATGGAACTACTTAACGACAAGGTGAGAAATGATCCCCTGCTACCGCTGCCAGTTAATTTTAGATTATAATGTTTAGTGAAGCTTCCAATAAAGCATCTTGAATTGAAACAGGAAATGTACAAAAAGGTCACATTTCTTTTCAACGTACAGTAATTAGCTATGTTCATATCTCTTAAATAAATACACTTTAATTATCAAACAAAGTTTGAAAGTGCACTGTGGCTCCAGTGGTAAGATTAAGCATCTTAACACATTAATTTCGAGGAGATGACAAAAAAGTCTCAAACAGTAAAAGATAATGGAAGCACATCTTTTCATAATCTCTTCTATTCAAGACTAAGCAAGTGATGTTCCTTTAACCTGAATAAGAAAAATAATAAGCATCAAAGGCAATGTATACTTTGAATTTAATTTACTTTGATGATTAAATTGTCTAACCGCAATACAGTAGGTCCCAGAAGTGTTTTTTTCCTTAAGTCCATATATAGTATGTACCTCAAAGCTGGTGTAAAATGCAGCTCAACAATCAGAAACAAAACTCAACAGAGCAGAAACAATGGTCACTAATTAAATTATTACAGTGACAGTCTGCAATACTGTCTTGTAATACAAGAAATAAAATCCTGAAATTCCCTAGAAGTAATACAAGGAGATGAAAGCCTAACAAATTTTTTATTTTCAGTAAGAATATCACTGAACATTTTTGCATTGATTTTCTTATCTAGTTATTGACCATAATTGTATCTTTTGAAAGAAGGTACTGTACTGTACATAATACGACACGGAGGTTATACTGTATGCTGTAGTGAGTAAGCTTAGTGGAACCAGCAAACCCAGTATTGCCATATTCTTTGCATTTTGTTGGCTGTTCTTCTTGTAATTATATTTTAGTGCTGGGTTATTATCTCTTCTCCTTATCACTTATACTGTACAGTATGTTTTTCTTTTCTGACTTAAATAATTCTCTGATCAATAGCAATCTTCAACAATATTTGTTTAGCAGAACTTAGGCTTGAGGCCCTAACAATTGTATTGGAAAAGAAAAGTAATGATGTTAGTCACAAATAAATCTACATTTCCATTGAACTCAATGGCATACAGTAAGATGGTTTACTAATGGAGGTTCAATCTGTTTTTCATCTCTTCTATAAAAATAATACCTGACAGAAAAAAGCAAGAACACTTTATGAATACCTTCTGGTGCTAATTATCTGTGAATGACCAAATGGTCTCACAATCTGTAAAAAATGCAAATAAACAGGTTGTCACATGTATTTAATTGACTGATTCCTTTCTTATCTTACCAACAGTGTTTTTTTATCTGCTGGAACTAACTGCCTCCATAAATTTATTTCCTGTGTGTACTACACCATTGTTTTCGTATTTGCCACAATAAGAAAGATCTGTTTTTCGACAGACATTAACAGGGTATTATCTGGCAGTCTCTCAATTTCAACAGGCTATTTGATTTTATTTGTATTTTTTCCTGTCCCAGACTGTTAAGATATAGAAAATATTGAAAATCCTTCTTCAAAGGAAATGCATTTGAACTTTAAAAACTCTTGGATTGCTTTTTTGTCAGCACGTCTACATCTTTAAAAGAATTCCACTGGCACAGTGAGATGTGCCAGTGTGCCAAATTAAGTGAACAACTTAATTGTAGTCTCTCCAGGTGACACATATTTTTTTCTTTAACCTCACTTCCCCCATCCTACCATGTCTTTTAAAATTCCAAAATGGATTCATTTTACAATCTGTGTGTCATCAAAACACCTGTGGTATTTAACCTATCCCAAACTCCTTCAGCATTGTATTACTATCAGTGTATCTCTATAAGCCTTTTTCAATATGCCATAACAATATTCCTCTGAGAATATTGCATTTTTGAGTTGAGGACTACAGAAACCTTTCCTCTCTCATAATAGTTTAGTGTCCATAAGCTATTTTGACATGAATAAAAATATGAATGGCAAAATGTATTTTGTGCATCAAATTTAATTTGAAATTATGTCAGTAGTTCCAACGCAAAAGGATGCCAATAGGAAATAAAGCGTTTGTCACTTTATCCTGGCAGAATTTGACAAAGTCATTATCATGGTCTGTTAACAAAACAATCTACCGATGGTCTCTGCATACCTTACAATGTATTTGCTTATGATTGTCATTATTAACTGAGTTCGGCCTCAACATTCTAGTAGTTCTGAGGGTCAAAGGATTTTTTTTTCATTGGTACCAGGTGGCAGAAAACAATACTCTCAACCATTAAAACCCCCAAACATGTAATTCCAATTAATAAAAAACTAAAAAGTTACAAAATTATCACATCAGTTTAAATTTTTAAAATCTTTTAAAATTCTTATGTTTCAGTTACCTTAAAGATAACCAAGAGCTACAGTCTCATATTCATATTTTTAAAATTTTCTGCAGTATGCATTAGAATTGTCATAATGCCTTCAAACTCAATGCTACTAAAAACACAGTAGCATACAAATGCTTATGTGGAGCCTTACAAACAGCAAATGCCTCCCCTATGTGGGGGATTGCATTCAGTATTGAGTCTGTTGCATGAGTTATTTCAGATAGATCCTTGAGGAGTTCTGTAGATGAGTTCTAGGGGATTGCTAACCTCACATACACAGAGAAGTGCCTACAGATGAGATTATTTGTGACATGCTTTGTATTTTGTGTTCTTATTATTGGTACTGTACATGTAAGTCTCAGCACCTGCAGCAAGTCTAGATAAACAAATCACTGCTAAAATGAACTTCTCTATGTGCGTCTGAAAAGTTGACCTGTAGCTTGAGAATAAAAAATAGCAGGTACTCGCACAGCTGCTGAATGCCCAGATTTTATCAAGGGGCAGATATTTTTCAATGATATTATTTCCCAGCCTGCTGATTCTATCAAACATAGCCCTGCTTGCATGTGTGAGATGGTGTCAAAAGCAATCCAACTTTCATGAATCACATACTCATACAGACAGACTATAGATTGACTGTGGATCAATTCACTACAAAACTGTCAGCACTGAGACTGCCTCTTATGAATTATGCCATGCCATTGCATTTTCTATTTTTATAATTGGTAATGAAAAGGCATGCAGTCAGCACTCATTTACGTGACCCTTCCTATCATGGGGTTTCCCGACAGAAGAATGAGTGTGATGATTTCATGAAAAGTCTAATATCTGCTGAACCAGGAAAAAATACTAAAGTCAGCTAGTACTGAAAGTGGAAGTGATGCAAATGCAAATACATACTGTACATTATGTATTTGATAAGCTCTTGTGAAACAAAAGTTAAACTTTTGCAGTGAAGGGTTCTTTTAAAATGTGGAGATTAAATTACAGCTTCAAATATATTCAAAGCTATAGGTTCTTTTGAAGCTTCACTACACAGCTGCTAAGCAAATATGTACAGGTACCAACAATTTTATTTAGTAATGGACTAACTTCACAAAACCCTCAAAATTCAGTAAATATGATGGGCAGTTAAGATTTGTTTTCACTATTCATTTCACTTCTCTTAAAGCTTTCCTTTAGCAGAAGCCATTGTAATAAAGCTTTTTAATCCAGGCTCGCAGAAGTGCAGTATCTTATACTTTTTATTCCTGCTGCACTCACAGTTTCAAAGCTTCATTCTTAGCTGAAGCTGAAGTTTATGAAGAAACCTATAGATGCAATCTTCAAATCACAAAGTTTCTCATCTTCAAATATTTAGGAAATTAAAAAGAATAAATTAATATACAGTATACTGTATACAGTATATTTTTATTGGTAGGAAATTATTGCCATATCAAGAACAGTATTTCTACTGTAAGGTATTTTATAAATTTGAGTTCTGCACATGTGTGCCTTTAGCCAGAGGTCTGCCAAAGCATTCCTGCTTTGTGTATTTTCTTTAACCATGGCAAATTTGACTGGTGGTTAAACAGGATAACTTTTGGTCTCATTCCAAATGTTTGAGATATCACTCTTGTTCTTTAGTTTCATTGTATTTCACGACTTTCACAACAATAAAGTCACAGACTTTATTGATCCCGAAGGGAAATTACCTGTGCACCAAATTTGCATTGCATTTATGCAACTAGTGCAAGGGAATTGTGGATCAAATGATATACAGTATAATAGCTTACCTACCTCAGCAATAAATTACAGTCTGCTTTAAGTCAAACAGATTTCCTATATCTTGTGCTGTAAGGTACATGATTATGAATCTAGTCTTTTCAGTCATTTTTTCCTTGTAATCTGTGACTGCAGATGTCCACCATAGTGCTTTACTATTGAAAGGAGAAAAGACCCACAGAGCAGTAGCTTTTCTGAATGCCGAATTTTAATTTACTTCCAGAAAGATGTGCTTATAGATAGAATCAGAAAGAACAACAGGCCACAGTCAGTCAGAACATGAAGATCTGGCATCACAAAATCATGCTGTAGTTAAAGGTTAATAAAAGTAAAACCATATATTCTTCTGTTCCGAACATGCTCTTCTGAAGATAGACCTGAAATTAAATGCATGCATAATACATGAACTTTCTTTGAACACGAACATGACCCTGAAACAGAAGTGCCATTATTGTTTGTTTAATAATGTAAGTGGTCTTCAAATCCGTCTAGGAGCTTCCAGCCGTGGACTGCCTTTCATTTCTACTTCATTAAAGTAATTAAGGCCTGTGTGCTCAGAAGTGTACCTCTGTTCATTAGTTTCTGCAGGATAGGGAACATTTCAGCATATAGCATAATCATAAAAGCTTCATCAGAAATAGCTCCAACACCCCTGCTAACCTGGAAATTAAACATAGTTAAAGAATAAAATGATCCTTCCTAAGATGATGCATGATTTACCAAAATCCAGTTTTGTCACACCTGTTAGGAGAATGTGGGAGACAGGTCTGACTAATTTTTATTTTTTTAATAGAAATTTCAACTGAGATGCTGCTATTAAGATACATCTCATTCAGTTGGTGTTTTAGAATGCAGCTGTAATTCTAAGTGTTCTCTGCAGTATAATTATCCAGCATGTATCACAGTAACATAGAGGCTAATCTCTTATCAGTGATTAGCTCATTTCCTCCTCTCCCCTTAGGCCACTTTGCTTCTGTATCTCTGAGGGGCAGGTATACAGTAGATGGGTAGGAACTATGATTGCTCTCCATGTGACAGTAAAACCTTTTTTTTTTACAGAATATTGCCCAGATCAATGACATTGTGAAGCAGGTTCTGTTGATTTTCCCACATTTCTGTCTTGGAAGAGGGCTTATTGACATGGCCAAAAACCAGGCAATGGCCACAGTTTTTGAAAGGTTTGGTGAGTTTTGCCTTGATAAAGGCATTATTTTATGTATCTAAGGGTTCGTTTAGAAAAAAAAGGAAAAGGCTTTAAATAGCTTAATTAGACCAGATCATCGTTTCTGCATTCTTTACCAATTATGCATTCATGGCAGTGTTAAGACCAACATACAGTACAGTAGATGTACTATAAGTAGAAATTAGCAAAAGGGTAAAATTTGTATTCATAACCTTAATTTTCCTTTCTCTGGAGGTCCATGCAAAGTATTCTAATGCAGGCAGTGGGACTGCAATTGTGAATTGCTACCTCTAAGTGCCACAGCATTACAGACATTTGCTTCTTTCAGGTCCTTTTTTCCTTAGTTTTCAAGTGATCATTAGGCACAATCAAAGTAGTTGCCAAAGGTGCTGGTTGTGTCAAAGTTCTGCAATACCCTGAAATACTGGAAGCTGTGTGGCTTTGCACTACAGCCTCTTTCTCCAATCAAATAAACAGTATGAGGGTAGTACGAAAAGCCTGCTTTGTCTTTGGACACACAGTAATAGTGTCTAAATAGTTAATGTATCAACATCTGTCAGTTTTTGAAATTCAAATTTGTTAGATGCTTATGCATGCTCATCTACCGCAGCACCTTGAAATGTCTAGGTACTTTATACTGCATGCCACTGATGGCTAAGTACCTTTATTTATTTCTAAAGAAAGGAAACATACAGTACTCCATGACAGGCAACCAAATATATTTTATAGCAATGATATGGCAGGGAATTACTGTCTGAAGATTCATTTGCTGGCAGTAAGCATGACAGGAAAGCAATCATAACTTAAAAGCCTTGTTGGGAGAAAGCCTGTTCACAAGAAAATGAAAATAACTCCTGCCTTTCCACTCAACAAACATGGAGACAACTGATCCTTAGACATCAGTCGTGTAAGGATTAAGGGTAAAAAAAAATCTTTCTGACGGTGATGTTGCGTGTAACCCTGCTCTCCACATCTGCTGTTTTGATCATGAATAGGTTGACAGACGTCTTAAGTAAATGAATATCAAAATGTATAGATGAGTGGGAAATAAAATGTCGAATCATCATACTGTACATATAATATTGAGCGTAAAGAAGGTTTACTAGCTCTTTTTCCTTTGTTGACACTCCCACACTACATTTGTGCCAGAAGTGGAGTGAAATATCCCACAAACCAGGATTGCTGATGGAGTCAGTGAATCACTGCTTTGTACAGTATAAGACAAAGTGTGTAAGCACTACATTTTAACCCCACTCATATACAGTATTTCAGGCATTTCAGAGGGGATATTTATGAATATTCCTCCATGAAGAATTTATCTAAGTCTTTTATACTCTTTGGTTTCCATTAGTGAACTGCCACCTTGAGTTAGAATCACAAAAGGTCAATCAGATTGAGGCCTGAAGAATGAGATGGCCAGTTAAAACATGTATTTTGTGTGATCCACAGCTTTGGAAGTACGCTGTGGATCACTGCTATGCTGAAAAATCCATTTTTGGCCAGGATTGAGCTTTTTGGCAGAAAGAACCTGGTGTCTGGCCAGAATATCTGGGTTCGAGTTGGAGTTCATAATTTTCTCTATCTTGACAAAGCCTCCAGAACACATACAGTAGATGCAACATAACCCCAAAACATAATACACCCCCCTATTACTGTATTTCATAGTTGGCATGAGTGTTTTCTCAATATGCACTTCACTTTTTTACACCAAGCAACAGGCTGATGTCCATGTCCAAAAAACCCAATTTTAATTTAAGACATTGTTTCAAATGTCATTTAAAAGTTGTTGGAGTCACCTCTTTTTGCAGGTGGCCTTGTATTCCGATTTCATTAGCGGTATGAATACATTTTGAGGGGATTGTGTTTTTCCTCAAGCTTAATGAATACTCCAGCTCTTTTGTAACAGTGTGGTGTGTTATCATGCCATCTTTATGATTTTCACTTGAAGTTGGATAAAGAACAGCTCTCTGAGCAATTGCACATACACTGTATTATACAGATATTTCTTTATCTACAGTAAATGCATAGAAAACAGATTAGTGCATGAATCCATGAGGAATACAGCAAGTTGCTAGAGGTGGTCACCATGTTACCTATTAATAGTGAAATACTCCTTCTGGAAGGTACAGTATCTTATACATGTATGAGCTCAGAATATATAGGTTTTCAATTTCTGCTTTTTCATTAGTGTTAGAAGCTTCCAATTACCTATAACAATATATTTACAGTATATCAAATTTACTCTGGTGATCTGTTTTGGAATATATATATTTCTTTCTGGCATGGTTATACTATATATCCATCCATCCATTTTCGAACCTCTTTCTTCAATACAGAATTGCGGGCACTAATTAGAATACACCATGGATAGCACACCAGTACATTGCAGGATATACACAGACCCAAACACGCACACATTCACACAAGCGCCAATTTTCCCAGAAGCCAATTAACGTACCAGTGCTGTATGTGTTTGGACTGTGGGACTGTGGGATACTGGAGCACAGGTTTTCTATGAGCCAAAAAACGATCACGTGGACATCAGATAATCAGGACGGAAACTCAATAAATCACTTTGCATGGTTTATTGTGATGTAAATACCCAATATTCTCCTTCAAGGCTTTTAGTAAGACTGCAATTACAAAAAATGGTTGAAATTTTTTGGTGTGAAAAAGCAGGTTATGTAGCGCCCTAACTGTTTTTTCAATTGATTTGTTTTCAGGTGAAGACCGCTTCCGGAATCCTCTGGACTGGGACATGCTGGGGAGGAACCTCCTTGCAATGTGTATTGAGGGGCTTGTGTTCTTTGCCTTAACTCTTCTTATTCAGTATAGGTTTTTCTTTAAACCAAGGTAAGGAGAAAAGGATATCCTAGATTTATTGTACTGTTATGAACATTAGCCAGAATTAAAATCAATAACATAGATACATTTTACAAAAAGAAATGCTCTTTGCGCTACTGCTTCTGTTCCTTTAATCACTTAGTTTAGGAAATGTGGTATTCAGATGAATCCTGGTTTGTGAAAGTTTAATTAGCTTGAAAATCTATTGTTGTTATTATTATATACCATTTTATTTTTAAAAAATGAAGATCTCTACATTTGCTGTATTAGCCTGATTTCAGCACTGCAGAAACCATTTAGCCTACCTCTGTTGCTTGGCAACATTCTGTTGATTCATCCTATAATTATGAAGTCTAAAGACAACTGAGGAAAATTTGATTTAAAGTATCTTTAGGACAATTAATAAATGAAAGAATGGAAATTATGTCAGATGAAGCTTAAACAACTGAACAATTAGTTTTAAGCAGATATGAGAGCCTGGCGCTTTCCTTGAATCCTGTATCGAGTTCAGGAACTCTACCACAAAAGGAACATAACAAAATAACAGATACATTGTTCATCAAAGACAGGTTTGTTCCCAAAGTGTTCAAGAAGTGTTCACCAGACTACAAAAACACATGGAGCTAAGCCAATAGAAAACACTGGTTTTCAATACCTACTGTATACTGTAGAATACTGAAAAAGTTTAGTTCAAATCTGAACTGAAATTATCTATGCTGTAATGCTATTTTACATTTCTGTAATCTTAGGGCAGTGGATGTAGTCGCACAACCTGTTATTGATGAAGATGAAGATGTCGCACGCGAACGTATCCGTGTGTTACAGAGCCCAGCTGAATCAGACCTATTGAGAATCTGTGATCTCACAAAGGTACACAAAATTTGTTGGGATTATGTCTGTTTCCTTTCTTATTTACTGTTCTCTTGTCATGTTTTTGATGGATGTAGGAGGATATGAGCCATTATTGTTGTGAGTTTTAATAACAGTACAAAAAAGTTGTTTTTCATCTACTGTAAATGATGGGATTGATAAATAAATTAATCTTGTCTCAGAATCAACAACCCACAGCTTGCTTTTCAAAAGCATGCATTTGCAACACTAAAGAATTGATCTGTATTTATTAAGTGAAAGATCAGAATAATTTCAGAAGTTCCATTTTTTTGTGTCAAGGAGGTATGGTTTTTACATCTTTATTAAACAATGAAATGGTATGTAAATTACAAAGTTCCATTTTGGTATAAGGATATACAGTACCCAAGGAGAAGGTTTGCTTCTTAATTTCTAGTCCCATGTGTATCCTCTATCTGATTGCAGTTGTGGATACATGTTTACATACAGTATGTTTTGGGATTGTCCATAGGTTGTCAATTCTGGATATAGGTCTAGAATAATGCTGTTTGTCCATTATTCTGAAAAGGATATCTCCTGTTCAGATTCAGTAGTTTTGCTGGATGATGACCCTAATCTGGGTCTCTCAAAGCAGCAGAAACACTGTTGGGAACCTCCACATTCTCCCTTCAGCTGTTACTGGATACTGGCTCATCTTGATATTATCTAGTAAACTTTCTAGCATTATGATCCATTACGACAGCATGGATGTTGCACATTGGTGGTGCATTACCTGTAAAGCGCTTTGGGTGGAGTGTACAGAAAAGCGCTGTATAAGTGTAAAGGACTACATTTTAGGGATCCCCGTGTATAACCTTGGAGTAATGAGTAAGGGTGGCTCTTTTGGGGTGGAAATGGCTAATTCTGGATCCTGTGTGAAAATCACCAGATGGTGAAGGTCTGTCAAATGCTGAGATAAGACATGGTCAGCCTGGAAGGGAAAGTTGCCTTGCTGTTTCCTCGAGGAAGTGGACTTCTGCATTATTGTGATTTTAGATGAAAGGTGGACTGTAAGTTTGTTTTTTAACTGTTTGTGGTGTTGGCTGAGGGAACAGACACCAGAGAGTCATTGCCTTGGTGTTTTTACATCCAGGACAAGTACTTTGGGATTAATCATCTCTGGTGTGGCATAAAAACATAGCTTGCAAAGATGAATGTCTTCCCAGTGGCAAGTCCTTGATCAATGCTATTAATTTTTGAAAACATAATAACCATTTTTTTTTTCAAATCGATGTCTGAAAGTTTTTAATTGTATTTATAACAGAAACAAAGCTATACAGATACTGTATATTAATATTTTAGAACGTTTAGGGAAAAAAGTTACAGTCCTAGGCTACTTCATAAAGCCCACGTCTCTGTTTTTCTAAGAAGAATTAAGTCTATTTGATACGGTGTAATGGTGTCTTTATTTTAGCTAAATGGTCACATTCCCCCACACAACATTGAAGAGCTTTGATTTTGTTTAACAATCGGAAAACATAAAAGATCATTTTTTGGGCTATTAACTTTAATTTCTCCTTTCAGTAGCTGAAAATGCCAAACAGCACACAACTTGGAAGTTTATCTCTGTACATAGAACCAGGTGCATCAGTTTAGTTTGGATCTTGATCCTAATTCAAGTTAGGCTGAGTCAGCCTTGGGTACAGCTAAAAATGAACGCACTAGTGCTGTTTGCCTGCCAGCTATGATTGTGTGCTAATCACTCCTAAGATTAACAACCAGTGGAGACCAGATGTTGTAGCCCTGGGAAGCTGTCAGTAGGAGATTTCTCTGCTGGTTTACACATCAGTGGAAACTTTCAAAACTTTTTGAGCAGTTTTACTGGAAGGTACAGGGAAATGTGAACTGATAGCACAGAACAAATCAAATCTAACTTTCTACAGTTCACTGTGTGAGGAGGGATACTATGCCATAACAAACTATTGACTTTTCTGTAGATAATAAGTAACATACTGTTATCCTATACATTACTCCAAGTGATGTAAACATGTTGTATTAACTTACATTGGGAATAGTTTATCAATCTTATACATAAAATTGTTATTTTTTCATATTTATTTATTTCATTTATTTATAAATATAATTTCCATGTTATGTGGTACAAATTCAAATACAGAAGAGCATTACTGTACAGGTACTGTATTACCTGATTATTTTTGTTCAAAGTAGATGAGAAACTGAATAGTGTGGGGACAGAACTTAAATTTATTCAGCATTAGATTCCGTGTTCTTGGCTCATAGAGACAAGGAAACGCATCTTTACACAAAGATTTACCCTCAAACTCTAGGTACGATCAAGAAATATCTGAACAAAATCTATGATTCATTTAGTTGAATGAAATACTGAAATACCAAAAATTTCAGAAACAGCAACAAAACAGAAAGAAGGACCAAAAGGCTTTCTGTTCTTCTTGGGCTTAATTATGATTTGATTTTTTTTTTTTCGTTTAAGCACACATTTTTATTAATAAGAATTCATTTTTTCTCTCGACACAAATCACTCCAGCCCCCAACATCAGTGGTGTCTCCCTCTGACTTTGTACCAAAGAATCCCTAAAGTCAAACGGCTGTAATAGGAATAAATATTCAATACAAATTAATTTTGTCATCAGCAGCATTCCAAGCCTCCATCTTCTGTCTGCCACCAGCCCCGTGGATCCATAGTAGTAAAACATAAATAACATCAAGACAAGATTCAGTAATGCCTGGGAAGGGAATATGGAGTCTCACAGGGTAGCATCAATAACTTTTTTGTTGCATTGAGACCTGCCAGGATTCTCGTCCTGCTGCTGTGAGATTCCAAGAATTAAGTTATTATTTAGCAAGAGTACTAGGAAAGAGCAAGGATCACCCTTATCTAGAATGGTGACAAAAATGAAAAAACTTTACCATGTCTGGGCACTCCACAAATGTGCCCAAGGTCCCCCAGAGAGTGTACATAATAGGCTAGGACAGGTTTCATATGATGTTGTCTATCAGGGGCTGCTATGTTAAGGACACAGCTCAATGAGAAATAATTTTCAGAAGCCTAATGTATATATATATAGTGCCAGAAATTTTCTTCATCTTTAACACTTACTGTAAATCCTTATTTCAAATAGTAACAGGTTTTGTCCCCGAGATCCGATATACAGTAGTATGCATGCATCCTAGACACAAGTAAAAACAAGAAAGAAGAACGAGGAAACTCATATTGAGATTGCAAGTCTTTGGAATGAGCAAATCATCATTCTACTGTAAATCGCTGCTAGAATGTGAATGTCCTAATTTTTCAAAAGTGGAAAAGAAAAAGAAGAGAAACTCTTTATAGGTAAATGATTATCAAAAATAGGAAAGTGAGAATATCATGTCTTTTGGGATTTTGTGGATTTTTCCACTAAATGCCAGTGTGTAATTAAGTGTGTAATTATGGTGCCAAAACACAATTTAAAATGCATAAGGGGAATACAAGTATGAATTAAATGTTGAAGTCTGTATTGAAAGACCAGACTTTCTTCAAGTGAGTGCCAAGATACAGGCATGTCAGGATTAAAACAGGCAGACAGTGATTGCAAAACAAACTAGTAGAAATAAAAAAAAAGTCTGACACAGCTAGGATCCCCTCAGACCTTTCACTCTTCAGAATGTGTGAATGCTGCAGAGTATTTAATAAGCAGCTGCTTCCCTTTTCATATGAATTTAGATTCTAAAATGCAATCAAACTCAATACCCTAAAGAGGAAAAGAAAGGAAGCATACAGCTAAAAAAGCAAGAGACCACATTCATTTCTATTACAGAGACATGTCAGAAAATGAGTCCATCTGTTCGAGTCAGCTTGATTTGAAAATAATATGTTTGCTGGGATGGCATGTAATGAAGAGTAAATCTCAATAACAAGGTATCTGAAGTATTCAACCACTGGCACCCTTAGAAGAAGACGTGTTTTCTCCACTGCAAACTTTAATGGCAGTAATGCAGAACTGGAACACTATTGTACCCAAAAAAAGCACTGAAATCTTTAAAAATAGCCAGGCAGTACCTGAAAAATATTTTTGCATGGTACAATATATCATCAACATGGAGCAATACAAAAAGTTTAGTATTGTTACCAGAAATATGGGTTTAAACAGCAGTACATTTCCAAAAACAATACAATTGACATTTTGATGACATTGTTAGCTGGTGTAAAGTTTTTTTTTTCCAAAAAACCACCTCAGCATATTTACACTTGAAAATTTAGACCAGAATCCTGTTTCTTGTTTGACAATAGTTTTTTAAACACTGCTTTACTGATGCTGAAATGCCATTGCCAATTTGAATTGCCTAGTAAAGTTCCATTATGTTGCGTAGAAAAAAAGGTTTACTTAAAAATCAGCCCTTGTAGCATAATTATTGGTGCAAGCCTGTTATATTGTTTTTGTTTATACTCAGATCAGTCTTAGGCAAATGTTTCACAGAAGCAAGATGCCTTGATAATGAACCTTACATTCAGCAGCGCACTAGCGACACTGAACAATACTGTTGAGTGACAGCCTGATCAATAAACACGGTACCACAGATGAAAGAACTCGGCTTCATTATAAATATTTGAAAGATTCTACAGAAGCACCTGGCTTATCAATAATCTGTCAAGCTGAACAGGTCTGCGAAAGCAAACTTAAGTTGGAGTTGTTGTATTTGATATGCAGTGCCACTCGTGAGTTAAACTCTGTTGGTGGCATTTAGAAATCAATAGGACTTTCAAAGATAAGACATCAAGGAAGGGTTGGGAACCGTTGGAACCACCGATCAACAGAATCCCTGATGCTCCCAGCCTGCTTATTCATTTATAAATGATGCCTTTTCCTTTTATTCAGATATTCGGACTCTGCAGTTCTAACATTTCTCTCATGTTTATACTGAAGAGAATTTTACTTATTATAAAGAACACAGAGTACAAGTCTAATATGCAGAATTAATGTACTTTATTAAGTACAAAAGATAAAAATTCTGTATTCAAAATG